AAGTCAAAAATGACGGCTGGTTGGAAAACCAATTCTCACCTTTTTAGGTGAGAATTGGTTTTCACCAATTTGGAAGAAAAAGGCGCGTGGAGGCTGTCCCAAGAAAATTTTTTCCCATCCATTTTATGCCAATCAAACATGGATTTTGTTGGAAAATGGAATTCTTTTTCCATTTTCCATGGAAAATGGAAGTAATCAAACACAGCCTTTGTGTTTTCCCTTTTCTCTCATGTACTTCATCTGATACTTCATGAGTACGCTGACCAGTTATAATTATTCTTAAAATTTCAAGCTTCTGATGAATAATTTTTGAATTTTGTTCCATCTCTTTTCATGGCATTCCTACTGCAGCCAATTTCACAGAACAAGCGGTATATTGCAAAAAATGGGGCTCCAACATTGGTAAAGTCTTCCTTTCCTATTTTTTTTTTTCCTGAAACTTTGCATTGCTAATTTATATACTTCTACATTGGTAATGCATTATGGACCAATTCATCTTGTACACATCTTATGACTTGTTGGCTAAATTGCTATTTCAGATACCATCAGATCCCATTGCGTTGATCAAAAGCAATTTTCTTTCTGCGGGTTCAAAGGTTGGGTTAGCATGAAGAAATACTGTCTCTTGCATTAAACCCGCGTTTCATCTTTTTCGTTCACTTATCTCATTTATTCTGTCTTTGTGGAAGTATTGACCATTATTTATCTCAATTAAAGTTCCTCATAGAATGTGATTACTATTTTCAGCTTCATATACTTTTGGAGCCATTTCTGTGGAAGAAGAATAACCTCCCGAAGGTGTCTGACTCACCAGAAAGGTAAATAATATCGATAATGTTAAAGACATGAACGTATTTGCTGCTTCTTCATGTCTCCTGGCAACCATAAACATTTCACTTCTTGAAAAGTAATGTTTTCATCCACTGTTTAAGATCGTGTCATTTTAACATTAGGGAAAGTTTCACATATATTTTGTGCACTACCACTATCGATAATGAATTTCTTGTTGTAAATAGATTGTCTTTTTATGCAGTATCTCCTCCAGTATTTTGGAGAATTTCCTTTGACATGACAATGTGTGCCGTTTGTTGTTTTTTCTTCAATCTGAGAAACAGATTTTAAACATGTGATCAACATTTACTTGTGTAAGTTTCTCTGCAGTGTTGGTGCTTTCCTCCAGCGTCATTTTGGTAAAGAGGTACGTTTGATACCTTCTTTATAATAGATCTTTTGATTGGTCAATTGAAATTGATTATGCTAAATATTTTCAGTAGCATCTAGGAAATTTACCTTCTTTATAATAGATCTTTTGATTGGTCAATTGAAATTGATTATGCTAAATATTTTCAGTAGCATCTAGGATATGTATAGTCAGATGTTTCATTGAGCGCAATTTCATGGCACATTCTCCATTAAACAACAAATTGTACCATCTTTTCTGGTCTTCTTTTATTTGTTTCTGTTATTTTCCTCCAAAACTAAAATTCTTTCTCAGGCTTATTTAGTGGTTATATTCATCTCTTTGATTTTAACTTCCATGTATGTCATACTGCGTTTATATCATTTACAAGGTTGTTGACTACCTTGTTGATCCTTTTGTTGCCGGAACAAGTGGTGGAGATCCTGAATCTCTTTCTGTGAGTGTCTTTTGCATTTCTTTGCTGATATGTATTATCTTTTTCATAAACGGCTAATTAGAGGAAACTTCCAAATGATTTCATGATGCTCACTTTCATGAGCTGTGGTATTAAAACTGGTGGAAACGCCATGAACTCTATTCCATTTGTCTTTTTGATCAGATGCGACATGCATTTCCAGAGTTGTGGAATCTTGAGAAAAGGTACGTAGTACCTCAAAGCTTATTTTCGTTTTTTGGTAATATTTTTCTTTATCATTTTGAACCGATACTAGATGGGCCCTATGAAATAAATAGTTTGGATTAAAACGTTTCAGCTTGCTAGACAAAGGTAGGATGTGTTTATATTTAATTTCAAAAACAGTTATCCAATTCAATATATATATATCGA